GTATTCCAGCTGACCTCTCACCTCCCAGAAGGACTCACCAGACAGGGCAGGAAGCAAGGGAGAAAAAAGATGTCCCAGAGAGAGTGCTGGAGGAGACAATGTGTCCAGTTAGGATGCTGCTCAGGACTCAAGGACCTCTTAGAAAGTCACTCTCACCAGGTGTTGGTGGCACACGTCTTTAATCCCAGCACTCGGGAGGCAGAGGCAGGCAGATCTCTGTGAGTTCGAGGCCAGCCTGGTCTCCAGAGCGAGTGCCAGTATAGGCTCCAAAGCTACAAAGAGAAACCCTGTCTCGAAAAACAAACAAAAAAAAAAAAAAAGAAAGAAAAGCTGTCAAGAACTTGTAGATGTGGGCCTGGAGAGATGGCTCAGCAGTTACACTTGCTGTTCTTGCGGTTGATCTAGATTCTGTTCCCTGCACTCATAAGAGCGGCACAACTGCCTGTTAACTCTAGCTCCAGGGGATCTGATGCCCTCTTCTGGCTTCTTCAGGCACTGCATGCATGAGGTACACATACATACATGGGGGCAAAACAATCATGTACATAAAATTAAAATAAATAAATCTTTAAAAAATTTAAATAGTTTCTAGGCAACAGAATTTGCAATTACCTCGCTCTCCTTCCTTCTTTGGCTTCATTCCTATAAACATGCTCACTCCCAACTCTATATAATCCACTCCTTCAAGTCAGTTTAAATGAACTTTATATTAGTAATGCCCCTGTCATAGTCTGAATGAAAAATGTACCCCCTAATCTAGGGCATTTTTGAATGCATGGTCTTCAGTGGGTGACGCTATTTGGAGAGGTTTAGGAGGTGTGGCCTTGCTGGAGGAAGGGTGTAACTGGGAGCAGGCTTTGAGAGAAGAAATCTTCACCTATTTCCAGTTCGCTCTCAGGTTTGTCCTTGCTGGTTTTGATTTCAGGTCTCAGCTCCCTGTTCCCACCACCATGCCTGCACTCTGCCACCATGGACTCTTATCCCTCTGGAGATGTAAGCCAAAATAAATGCTCCATTCTATAAGTTGACATTTGTCCTGGCATTTTATCACCGCAACTGAAAGCTAACTAATACAGTCCCTAATTGCATCCTAAGTTCTATTTATGATGCATTATGAAACTGTATATCCTTGGGGAATTTTATAGAATCCTCAAATCTAATGGGTTGGAGTTGAAGTGTGTGTCACCCAGAATATGGTCTCTCTTGGTAATAGGGCCACTGTTAATTAGCTATGGTTGTCATCAGCAGAGGAGAACATGCCTTGCCATTGTTGTCTGTGCAACTTGGATTTGACTGAAAATGGTTTTGACTCAAGTGCAGCTGGGATCGTGACACTTGGCACATTGAGGAATTTCAAGGTGAGACACAAAACAGGAAAAAGGGACTTTCTTGGAGAGAGCCAATTGCTGATGCTAGGAGAGGAAATAATAGAACCTAAGTGCCCAACAGTGTGTGTGTGTGTGTGTGTGTGTGTGTGTGTGTGTGTTGTGTGATGGGGGGGCTTTGAAGCTACTCAATACACAATTAGATACTAGAGTAAGTACGAACTAGTACAATTACTTTTCTTAGTCCCATAATTTTGTCCTTAAAGAGGAGACTTCTGGGTACAGCATGTAGGCTTGTGGGTAGGGAAGGGAATGACAGTAGAGAGGAAAGGCTTGACAAGAGATGGGAGGTGGCTCAACGAGATGGCTTGTGCCTACTGTACAGCATGAGGACCTGAGTTCAAATTCCCAGAACTCTCATCTATAAAGCTGAGTGTGACTGTGTACCTGCAACCACAGTGCTATTGGGGGTAGAGACAGCAGGGTTGCTTGGGTTCGCTGGCTACCAGTCTAGCTTCATATTCAGTGAGAAACCCTGTCTCAGGGGAATAAGATGGAAAGTGATAGAGCAAGGAGCTTGTTATCCTCCTCTGGCCTTGATGTACATGCATGGACATGCACACCTGCATATACCTGTGCATAACACACACACACACACACACACACACACACACACACACACACACCAGTCAAAAAATCCTTACTTATACACAGGCGTCATCATGATGGTGAATAGACTCATGGTCAAACAGCAGGTTTGATGCTAACGTTTATTTCCGGTCGAGTACCCGACAGATGACATGAAGGTTTCTTCTCCAGAGCTGCCTGTCATCCAGCTTCAAGCATCCAGTCAGCAAGTGCCTGATGGGAGGCAGCATGTTTAACAGACTTCTGAGCCTCTAAGACATAGTTCCACACATCTCCAAGATGACCTTCATGCACTACCTCATGGAAGAATGCATCTAACTCATGGAGCTCGGCCTCCTAAGAAGTCAAAAAGGAAACTGCTTATCAGCTAAGGAGCAGGAGCTCAGCTCAGGCTGAATTGGACAAATATTTGATAGTCACTAACCATTTCACACCAGTGACAGTATATGGGATGGAATGCTGACATCCCTTCTCTGATGTTCCTGTTTGGCTCTGCTCCTGTGTCTGCTCGGCTCCTGTGCAGAGCTCCTCGAGTGGATCAACCTGTTACCTCTTTCCTATACTTTTTCCTTAGCTTACTAATCTAATAACTGATTACACAAGTTATGGTTTGGCCTGTGTGTTAGCTCAGGGAGTACAGGTCAACATGAAATGAAGCGCCCAGGGATTGTATTAAAGGAGAGAACCCGGGGAGGCTAGGGGAGACATTAGGCTACTACACAAGCCTGACCCTAAAGAGAGAAGAAAATGAAGGGAAGGAAGGATTGGAAGGATTTCTGGCTTCAAATTAAAGCCAGCCCTTGGGGTTGGAGAGATGGGACAATAGTTAAGGATGCTTTCTGCTCGTCCAAAGGACCCAAGTTTGACTCCTAGCACACACATTGAGCAGCTCATAACTGCCTGCAACTCCAGCTCCAGAGGTGGGGTCTAATGCCCTCTTCTTGCCTCTTTGGGCTCACGAATAGACACCCTAATGCATAAACAATAACTAGCAGCAGACCTTTTCTCTGAGGCGAGTAATAACACATCTTGGTAATGTATTGATTGAAAATTTAGCTGCCAGAGGTAATCTTATTTCTCATTTATTGGAAACATAGCATGTGGTGTGACCTCCAAACACTATGTCTGTACTGGAGGTATTCTATCTCTTCCTCTCTTCCTCAGCCCTGCTTCTCTTTCTCCCTTCCTGGTTCCCCCCATACTTTTTGGGATATATTGGTTCACTTTTTAAAAAAAGGAAGAATGGAAGCCATTGAGGCTAAACACTTGAGATATACAACTTTTCCAAGCCTACAGTGAATACCTTTTAAATGGAAGGATCCTATTTTAGTACATTTTTATTAGATATCACACAAAACCACATTCATAATAGTGTCTCAAGGCAAATAAATGATATGCCATATACCTTGCACCTTGTATCATTGATCACATTTAAAGAAGCACCTTTCTTTAATGAGAACAGATATCATGAGAAAGGCATTTCCACAGCTCTCAGAAATGAGGGTGGGAGAAACAAACCACACTGCCTACCATTGTTACATTGCTTGGATTGCAAAATCAGGAGTCCCCTGGGGTCTCTCAGGTTGCCAGTCAAAGTTACAAAGAGAAGATTTGAGAAGTATGTATGTATGTATTTATGTATGTATGTATGCATGCATGCATGCGTGTAGATAGGGTCTCTCTCTATGTAGTCCTAGCTGTACTGGAGCTCACTCTGTAGGCCAGGCTGGCCTTCAACTCAGAGATCTGCCTGCCTCTGCCTCCCAAGTGCTGGGATTAAAGGTGTGCACCACCACTGCCTGGCTCACACATGGACTTCTTTATTCATATTGACTGAACAGATGGGGTGTTTTAAAAGCCACATGCATACAAGGTCCGGAAGAAGTGGAAGAAGCCATGAAAACTAGCCCCCCCCCAACAAATGAACCCAGAACCTTAGTTTGGTTTATTGTGGAGCCTGAGAAGAAAGATCTTAGTTTATTCACGACTCATTCCTTTGTTCATTTGGGATTCTTTTTCAAAAGTCTATGCTAGTTTAGGAGATGTAATTTAATCACAGCAAAAGACTTTGGCTTACTGATTCCCCTTATAGTGTTAATGCCACTTTATTGATCATCTATTGGACATCATTCCAGTATTTTTCATAATGATTTGCTTAGAATTTGCTTTCAAAGACTTGTCCTAAATCTAAGACAAAAAAACTGTCTGAAAAAAAAAGGCTAAAAAACATTAACTGAAGAGAGTGGTTATTATTTATTTATTATTTTGCATTACGGGAAAGGCCCATGCATCATTTGTGTCAAGCTCATGAACTATGAGGCATCTGGAATAACAATTAGGGATAACAAAACCAATTGGGACCTACAAAACAGAGTTGTATTTTGTTTTTCACAGTAGATTGTTCCAATTCCATGGGAAAATTACCAACAAGCAATCGTAGCAACTTCTGAGATGATTTTTAAATGTCCTTCGATTCTTTACAGTTATTTAAATTTTGTAGTTATGCTATATTATATCCAGAACACTTTTATTTGTTAAGCCAAGAAAACAAAATAATATACATAAGAATAAATGTAACAAGAGGAAATAGAATTCTGGAGTTCGGTTAACTGCTAGTAAGAGAGAGTTGAGTAACTAGGGGCTTGGCTATGCTCAACACAATATGGAGAGCACACTACCTGTTAGAGACCAATTCCCCATGCCTCTGAGCATTACGTCAGTTACCAGGGAGCCATAGCAGAAGCAAGCCACTTTCCCACTGTGCTCACTTGTCTGGTCCAGTGGCTGTCCTAACGAGACCTCATTAAAGAAGCCATTCTAAGACTCAGCGTTCACATATGAAAGGTGAAGACACTGGATGGGAAACGGAAGGGGACCACAATATTGACCCTGCTCCCGGGTCAGAGACTTGGAAATAAAGGAAGGCTAACTTTTGCTGGTACTTCTCAGTCCATCACACACCCCACCACACCCATTGCCACCCCCACACACTTATCCTTTGCTGCCCTTCTCATGGGTGCCCTTCATGCTCTTTCATATTTGGTTTTGTGCCTTGTGAGTGCTCATGAGCTAATGAGGACACATCCTGATTTGAGTCCTGACTTGAGATGTTTTTCTGGTTATTCATTGAATGATTTATCCCCTTTCAGTCTGAATCACTTCCTCTTCGTGTCGCAGGGATCCCATGCTACCAGGAATTGCTGGGTTAAGATGATCCTGGACTCTTAAAAATTCTGGGAAACATCCATAGAAGCTTGGTTTTTTCCATCTTCTGTCTTGGGCTCATTCCAACTTCGTAAGTGACTTTCAGCTCTTCCCTTGGTGTTCCATCAGCCACTTAAGCTTTATGGATGAATTTTTGATAGAAATAATTGTGTAATATGTATATCAAATCCATCAGAAATTAAAATCTATAGTCTTTAAAAATGCTTAATTACTACTGATTTATAGTAAACATAAATACAAAGAAAAAGCAGGAGAATATTAAGACTTATAATTGCATCATCCAACATTAATCAGCATTGATGTGTCTATTTGCATTTGCATGTGTGTAGACAGGTGTGTGTATAGGTGCTCACATGCCTGTAGTCCTGCAGTTGATGGTGGGTGTCTTCTTTGTTTGCACTCCACTTTATTTATTAATGCATGGTCTTTCAATTTAAGCTAGGCAGCTTGACTCAAGGATCCTGTCTCTGTCCCCTGAATGTTGAGATTACAGGAAGCCACAATGGCAGCCCAGCTTTTATGTGGGTGCTGGAGATTGGGAATATAGTCCTCACACATGATCCACTGAACCGTCTCCCACTGGGAGAATTTTGTTAAGTAGCTTTTAAATATACATATCCATATGTTTCCTAATATTGAATATACATTTTATAATATATAATAATAACAAAGGTACCTATAACAAAATCTTATATTTTTTGTTTATCTTCCATACCAATGAATATTCTTTCACAATATCATCTTTAGTGGTGGAATAAAGAACAGTGTCGTAGGTACAGAGGTGTCATACAATATCTAAGTATCTTCTACATTGACCAAGCTGTTTTCAGTAACCCAGAGTTATAAATAGCATGGTCATAAACATCACCATCTATGTATTTGTCTATTTAGGATTAATAGTTATGGAAAATCACCAGATGTAAACACATTGATATTGATTGAAGGATGTACATGTTTTGAAAATGCCTTTGAAATGGAGAGGTAGGAATGCTAGGAAATCCCTTGCTAGGAATGACATCTGAGATTTTGGAGGAAAGTTTGACAAAAAAAAGATGTTTAGGTTGTCTTGTTTTCTGTGGATAAGGAGATAGCCAAATGATTATTTGGTTTTGAGGTCAGGTGAGTGAGTAAAGATACATCTCAAAGCTAAGGACTAGCACGTGCCCACTAGTGGCTGAAAGAACATAGGTGTACCAGGAATGCGGAGGGCACTTCAGTGCAATGCCAGTGTCCTGAGTCACCCAGGCATTAGGAATCCTGCCCCATGGGATCCCAACAATGACTCTCCTCCTAGGTCATCTTTCTTTCTCCTTCACGAGTACAAGTTGTTTAAGATTCAGATACCTCAAGTCTGGACAAACTCTCACAAGCTGAGTAAACTCAATTGAACATTTTTATCACACACGCACACACACACGCACACACACACACACACACACACACACACACACACACACACACACACACGGTACTCAGCACTTCAAAAATGCCAGTGTGCAGGCAACATAATAGAGCTCCGGAGAAAAGTGAAGAAATAAAGGTGTGCTCTGATCCCCAGTTCTGCCTGTGAAGAGCTGTATACACCGAAAACTTAAGTCTTCCAAAATCCATAAGAGAAGTGAGCCCACAGGACAAACTCATGTCCCAGGATCAGACAGAATCTCAACTTGCTGAAGCAGAGATTTCCATGGAGGCCACTGTGGAGGTAGAGAAACCACAGCTATGACTGATGCATGGCTGGAGACTCAGTGTGCACAGGTTTGAGGCTATCTGGAGATTGGGTAGGAGTAAAAGGCTTGTGAGTTGTACCTGCAGGAGCACAGCCTAGTTCCATATTAAATATCAAGAAGAAATCTTACACTTTCAAGTCAGGGCACAGGAAAAGGAACCATTCTTGATGCACCTAAGGGCTCTGTTTTAGCAAGCTCCCCCCTCAGAGGAGACTACCAAAGCAGGGAACCAGTGGACCTGTGTGAAGAGAGCTCTCAGGTCATGACGCTCTAGCATCCAAGTAGGAGGAAGAGGTGCACAGTTCCAGCCTTCTCCAGCCTTCTGCTTGGGAAAAATGAAACATCTAACCTAGATTTATAGCCAGCCTGCCTCATTTGGAGGCTGGGGACTGAGAACCATTTGTCAATATCTCAGCCCAGAGGCCCAGGCTCTCTAAAAGGCAGGCTTATTCTCAGAACTACTGAGCTCCTCTTATGGCCATACTCCTAATTAAGACCTAAAGTACCTATACCGATAGCCCAGTGTTCAGTTATAAAGAATAAAAACAATAAGACACACCAAATAGTAAAGCATGATTTGAAGAGACAGTGAGTATCAGAACCAGACAGAGCAGGGAGAGTGGACCTATTAGACCAGGAATGTAAAACAACTAAAATTAATGTGCTAAGGGTTATAATGGGCAAATCAGACAGCATGCAGACATAGCTGGGTAATGCAGACAGTGAAATGGAAATCTCAGGAAAAAGCCAAACACAAATTCCACAGAATGGGAAAAAAAAGGAAGGAAGGAAGGAAGGAAGGAAGGAAGAAAGAAAGAAAGAAGACGACAGTGATAGAAATAATACTGTTGATGGGCCTATTAGTCAACTTGGACAAAGCTGAGCACAGTCCCTGAATTTGAGGGGGCATATCACTAAAAATTCTAGTACTAAAAGACAAAGAAAACAAAGACTACAAAATTTAACAGGCTATCTAAGAGATGTGGGAAAACTCTGAATGGTGCAATATACACATAGCTATAGTACCAAAGAAAGAGAGACAATGGACTAAAAGAAATATTTGTGGCAATGATGACTGAGATTTGTCAGATTATACATCAGATTTACCAGATCATGCACCAAATATGACCAGATTTTACATCACATACCATGATGTGGCACAGTGTCACTTGAAAGCGGGCTTGCTTCCTTGGAAATGTACATTGTGTCAGGCTCCAGGACATAAATCTTATAAACTTGAAGAACATAAAATAGGATGAATTCAACCCCACCCAAACCTAACCAAGCCACAGAGACATGCCATATTCCAATAACGAGAGAGAGGAAAACATTCACATCTCACTTATAAATAAACAAAGGCAGGAATACATCGATGTTTCCATGTACCCAAGAAGTGGAGTGAGATATTTAAGGTGTTGTAGAGTGAAAAACAGCACTAAACTAAATTCTGTATCACTCAAAATCATGTCTTAAGACATGTCTTAAGGCCTCATGGACAAACAAAAACCGAAGATGTGTTGCTTGCAGACCTGATTCAAGAAATATTATATAAAGTTTTCTGGGAGCTGGGGACATAGTTCAGCTGGTAAAGTGTTTGCCTTGTATGCAGGAAGTCCTGTGTTCAGCCGCGATGTCACATGTGGGTAAGGTGGCGTATGTCTATAATCATTCCCAGCACTTGAGAAGTAAAGGCAGAGGGGTCAGAAACTCAAGGTCATCCTCAGCTACGTTAGCAAGTTGGAGGATAGCCTGGGTTACAAAGACCCCACCTCCCATGTTGGAGGAGGTATTGGGACAGAAGAGAAGGAAATGATATGCTATAAATGTATAGATATGGAAATATGAATAAGGATTAAGTGAAGGAAGCCCAAAGCTAGGTTTTTATTTTACCTTTAAAAATGATTTTACTATTTTTAATTGTTATAACAGATAGCCATTTGAAATTGTAACAAGTATGTATTTGATTATGTGCATATCGTGTGTGTGTGTGTGTGTGTGTGTGTGTGTGTGTGTGTGTGTATGGTTGCAGAATGCTTATGCATAAGTGAAATGAACTCAAAAATGATTTAAGAGCAGAGGGAGGCGTGGGGATATTTTGCTTGTACAAACAAAGCCTGTCTGAAGGTCAGAGAATGGAGCTTGCCACTAGCTAACCATAGAGGTCTGGAGATCTGTACAGATAGACAGGAAGTGAGATAGCTGGTTGGAAACAGGATATAAGCAGGGAGACACAGGAACGCACTCTCTTGTCTGTTGAGACACTAAGGAGGTAAGGGGTGGTGGTGGTTTGGTCCTTCTTCTCTCTGATCTCTCAGCATTTTTCTCTATATCTGACTCTGGGTTTTTATTACTTAGACCAACTAAGAACTCCATGTACAGGGAGGAATTAGTATACTTTTGTTATTATGAAGTAATCAAGTATCAGGATGTGGTGCAGTCTCATTTGAAAATGGACTTCCTTAGGTGGAAATGTATATTGTGCATTCCAGAGCAAGGATTGAAAGGCTCTAAAGAGGCACACATAAAATGATCTGCTAAGAAAAGAGAGAAAATATATCCATGTAAAACATCGAAACACAATACTGGGCATGGTGGTGCACACTGATAATTCTAGCTCTCAGGAGAAAGAGGCAGGAGGATTGCAGCAGGTCCTGGCTAGTGTGATCTATATGGCAAGTTCTAGGCCACTTTGAGGTTCTTTTTTTTTTTTTTTTTTTTTTTTAAAAAACAACAATAACAATAAGAACATCTTAAATCCACAATAAATGAAACCAAGTAAAAGATAAAAGTAGAAATAAAGTATGTCAGTGTTCTGAATATACTCATTAATATACTGGTAGGTAGGGAGTAAAAAAAAGAGAGAACACATGAATTTGTAAGGAAATGGTGGTGGAGAGGATATGGGAGAAATTGGAGTGGAGCAAAAAGGGGTGGGATTGAGCAAAAACACATTGTATGTGCAAGGATTCAGGCATTATGCTGGCCTGCCCCTGTCACCTGGCAGAATGCACTCAAGCAGTACCGTGGTCAGCCCAGGGTTCCATGAGTACTAGTCTGCACACAGGTGCAAAGGAACCCCCTAAAAGAAAGACCCCCCCTCCCCGCCCCGCTCACTTATGCTCTCTTCCTGCTCTTCTCTCTCTCTCTGCTCTCCTCTCTTTCTGCCCTTTTCCAGTTCTCTTTCCTGCTCCCTTTCCCGCTGTTCCCATGGAGCAGACAGGACTTTTCCTGTCTCGATCTTTTCTTCTGTCCTCTCTGTGTCTCTGACCTCTTTTCTCTTTCCTTCCCCCTTCCTCCCTTTTCTAATAAAACTTTTCACTTAAACTCTGTCTGCCTGGGGTGTTTGTCCCCTGCCTCGGTCACCCTGGCCTGCCATGGAATCGGCCATGTTCCCTGCCACCCAAGGTTCCCTTCATGCTTTATCCTAACAGTTTGCATGTACAAGATTCTCAATTAAAACAGGGCAACCTATCACAATGTATGTTGTCTACAAGAAACTCACCATACCAAAATCATACGCAGATTAAAAGTAAATGAATAGAAAACCGTATGCCATGCTAGCCAGCACTTCCAAAGGAGAGTGTGAGCAGCTATATTCTGAAGGGACTAGCCCCCTGCTTTAGCAGCCACGACAAGCTAACATGTGCTTACCTGGCTTTTCCCCTCCTGCCCTAGTCACTAGGAGGAGGTCAGATACCCTCCTCATGGCAAGGAACCAATCAGAACTTAGCTGGTAGGGCTGTGCTTTATAGTGACATGCAGAGCATAGCAACCACCCTGGGAGGACCTATAGGCCATAACAACCAGTTGACCAATCAACACAGGACAGGTCGCCCAAGCCCAGAAGTGCACCAATCCTGAGACTGCTGAATACCTCCAGATACTCCCTTTGCTCTATCCAATATATATCCCACCTCTGGTTTCTCTCCAAGCATCCGCCATGATGAATGGACGAAGGGCCTGAGATAATGGGGTTAGCTCCTTAAACAACAATAAAAGACGCTTCACTTTTGCATCGAAATGGGTCTCTTCGTGATTTTGAGGTTTCAGAATCTGGGCACAACAATTCATTTCTGAATAATTGAAAGTGGAGGGTATTATTCCCAACCTACAAAAGGATGCCACAGAATGAAAACTACAGGCTAACATCTCTCAGGAACATAGGAATAAAAATCCTTAAAATATTAGCAAAAGCAAATGAGATGATATGTGCAGAGCTCTGCAGCACAGTAGAGTGGAGGCTGTCTCAGGTAGGATCATTGTCCCTACAAGCAGCAGGCTAATCCTAGACGAAAGGAAAAAAGGATCACATTGTCATAAACCCAAGAAATGCATTTGATGGACTCACATCTGCAAGAACTCTGTCAGTAAACTGGGGGCTCAAGAGATGGCTCAGCAGTTAGTATTGACCACTCTTGCAGAAGACCTGAGTTTGAGCACTCATATGGTGGCTCATAACCATCTATAACTCCAATCCCAGCAGATCCTACGGCCTCTTCTGGCTTCTGTGGATACCAGGCGCACATACGATAGACAGACATAACAAGCAGGCAAAACACTCATTCACATATTTAATATAAAATATAAATAATTTAAAAAACAAAAAGATTAAATACTGTCAATAATAGCAGGAACTTCCTCATCTTGATAAACAGTATCAACCAAAACACTACAGATAGGGTGGAAAGTTAGTTATGGGAGGAGGTGGGGGAGGGGAGTGCATATGTTAAAAATACATTGATTGTCAGGGCCTGCCATGGAATAATCCTTCTGTGAAGGGACCAGACCCTCACCCCGCCCCCTGTTTTGGCAGCCATGACAGGCTGCAGAAAAGACCCAGCAAGATGTAGGCCTCTGACTCAGCAAAATGTGCTGAGCTTCCTGACCTTATCTGACCTCCTAGTCACTAGGAGGTCAGATACCCTCATGTGGGCAAGGAACCAATCAGAAGTTAGCCGGCAGGCTCTGGATGTGCTTTACAAGCTCTGGCTATGCTTTACAGTATCAGTGGAGTAACAGTTGCATACAGAGCATAGCAACCACCCTGGGAGGGCCTATAGGCCATATCAACTAGTTGACCAATCAACACAGGACTGGTCGCCCAAGCCCAGAAGTGCACCAGTCCTGAAACTATTGCAGACCCCTAGACAATCCCCTTGCTCTACCCAATAAGTTCCCTACCCCTCAGCCCCTCCAGGACCTTCTCACTTCACCCACTGTGTTAGACAGACTAAGGAACTGAGTTAATACAGTTAACTCATTAAATTTATTAAAGATTTTGCATTGGAATGGGTTTCTTGGTGATTTTGGGGTTCCAAATTTGGGCACAACCTTCTGTTCAAAATGACTCCCACTATAAAAACTCAAATTTTAAAAAAAATTCAGAAATGCAAAATGTAATGAACTAATTTGTTTGAGTTGATTTGAAAACAAATAAAAGGAAGAGAGTATGCAACTTTTATACTTTTCATTTTACCCTTAAATCTGTGGCCAATTTTGAGGGTTTTTTTTTTTTTTTTTTTTTCTTTTT